AAAAAGCGTATCGGAACCGGGAGAGGGAACTGAAGACTACTTGGAAGCGGTTGACAGGTAAAACGCTTCAGTCCCGATTCCTAAACGGGACAGAAGCGTTTGTGTATGAAATGGCAAATATATTCCGGAAGACCAGAAACCGTTTAGGAACCGTTCCTCTTTCAGAATATATCGCCTGTCTGAAATTCCTCATAAAGACATATATAGTTTAAACACATCACATAATCAAATATGGATTAACAAGTTGGTTATACATCATATCAACGTCATATTATCCTTATCAAATCCTATACTACGTATTCCAAGATCTTACAAATTACTCTAACAACAAAATTTATGGTAGATCGAAATAACAACTCTTATAGTGTAAATATTTTGACTACTAAACAATCTTCTTACTAAGGCAGTCATCATACTTGTTTGAGTAATAAATATCTTGTTCCCTATCTGAACTACTTTAACAATTTAGAATTCATTCTATGTTTTAAAGACCAAGCACACTACAAAAACACACACACTCATATCTAGTCTTCCGGAAGCATTTGGCAGTATGAACAATAATTTCATAGTGCAGGGTGTATACACAATACCATGTCAGTTACAGTCTCGCCCTCCCTGCTCATCACAGTCAACTCTCATAATGCTAACATGTAAAATTCTTGCAGGGGTTAAAGGATGAGGCCCTTGTCAATTGAGGTTTATAGTTTATCTGTGTTATACGTATGAATGTACCCCAATTTCTCTCAGTAACTGGTTATTCTGGAATCACTGTTCTGCAATAACTCTTTGTTATATGTGATGGTCTTGTTATATAATGAACATTTTCAGTTATGGACAATCTGTGTATGTGTGATTTGCTAGCATGATTCTTAGACATTGTTTTACTGATAGCTGATCTATTTTATGAAATGGGTTGTGTCAATTCTCTCTGTTAAGATGAATGTTATAAATGGTTTTGTAAATGTCTTTTGTTGAAATTATAATTTCAACTCACGTATCTAAATGGTTGCCATACCTTGAGTTGCTTTTCTTGCATGCAGAGTACTCCTGCAGATGGCAAATTTTGATTTTTTATGTTTAATCTCTCAGCATATGCCACAAGAGACAATGGAACTGTACAACCAACCCTTGCCATGGAATATGCACTGTGTATGGGAATGGACATTACCTCAGATCTATTTTATGAAATGGGTTGTGTCAATTCTCTCTGTTAAGATGAATGTTATAAATGGTTTTGTAAATGTCTTTTGTTGAAATTATAATTTCAACTCATGTATCCAAATGGTTACCGTACCTTGAGTTGCTTTTCTTGCATGCACAGTACTCCTGCAGATGGCAAATTTTGATCCTTTATGTTTAATCTCTCAGCATATGCCACAAGAGACAATGGAACTGTACAACCAACCCTTGCCATGGAATATGCACTGTGTATGGGAATGGACATTACCTCAGCTTTGATGGAGGGAGATTTGATTTCATGGGGAACTGTGATTATATCCTAGCTCAGGTATCAATTCTTTATTACCCCCTTAAACGTACACATGGTACCAAAATGCAGTTTGGTGCTTTCAGTGTTTAAACAATTTCATAATGAGGAAAGAAAAGCAGTATCTGCATTTTTCTCTCTTAGCTGGATGTAGGGGATCCTAGGCCACTGTAGTACAGATCCACACACAAGAATTTGAGACATCAAAACTTGGTTTGAGGAACGTTTCTTTTTCACATGTTCCTGTAACATTCTTCTTCAGTGAGAAAAGTGAGGCTGCCACAATTGCATTGCAAATATTTCTTAGATCTAAGTTATACTTTTACCAAAATAATATGGCACAATCTGGTCAAGAGCAGGGCTATTTTTGGGCAGGAACGCACAGGAACGGAGTTCCGGCTGGCTCCCGAGTTGACTACGCCCAGCAGAAACTCATTAGCATAATAGGCCACACCCAATAGCAGAAACTCATTAGGATTGGCTACATTAGGGGTGTGTGGCCTAACATGCAAAGGAGTTCCTGCTACAAAAAAAGCCCTAGGTTTTGACAACAAACAAGGTAAACAGAATAAGAAGCAAAAGGTGGGTGTGGCTGGATTACTATACTTCTGGTAACATGGGGATGTGGCCTAATATGCTAATGAGCTATGCTCTCATGGGTGTGACTGGATATGCTAATGAGTTTCTGTTGTTGGGTGTTGGCTATTATGCTAATGAGTTCCTGCTGGGCTTTTTGCTTTTTCTACAAAAAAAGCCCTGGTCAAGAGTGTGTACTTCAAGCTTATTTCTGAGTATTCCTGTTTTTGTTTTGTTTTTTTAAACCTTCCTCCATAAAAGAAGCTAACACAACAGGGCAAAAGTTACTAGCCTGGCTTGGTCTTGGATTAATCATATTTTATATTTAGTAAGTTTGCATTTAATAAAGTGGGGAGATCATTATAGTCGTTCAGTCCCATAAGGACACTGCAACGTTTTAGAGAAATTACCTAGCCAGGGATGCCATATCCTTCTCCCTCAAGAATGTGTCATAGAAAGTGGGATGCTGAGATAGAGAATGTAATATTTAATGGGCTTTTTTTGTTTCCTGTTTTAAGGATTTTTGCCCCAATAATCCCCAGGAAGGTACGTTTCGAGTTGTAATGACAAATGCAGCATGTGGTAAATCCCCAACTGTTTGTGCCTTGAAAATCAATGTGATCTTGCAGGTAAGTCAGCTTTACAAGTGGGCAATTGCAACAACAACAACAAAGTGGATGCATTTTTGTTTGCTTGCTACAACTTGTTAGCACCTGTTCTCATCTGACATCCCTTTCCCCACCTACCCCGTTGTATTGAATCACATGGGACTTACTTCTGAGTAGGCATACTTAGAATTATTCTCAATATTCATCTGACGTAGTGAAAATAAGAATGTAATGTATAGCTGTTACCAAAATCACAATTATCTGGACTATTGGCTAGATTTGCAGGTCATTCATTAACTGGATGTAATGGATCCATTTCAGTCATCTACTTGTTGCACTTGTTGGACATCTGAAAAGGGTTTGGTGTGGTTTGAACAGGACCACCTGAGCCTTGGCACTGTCATGCATATGAACATACACTGTGTCAGACAACTGATCCACCTTGCTCAGTGGTTCCACTGACTGGTTTCCAAAGTCTCAGGAAAAGATATTTCCTAATACCTTCTCCCTAAGATCTTCTAAGTGGAGATGGTATGGATGGAACCTGGGACCTTATGCATGCAGTGCATGTGCTCTTCCTCTGACCATAGCTCTCCCATTCCAATGACATTGTCAACACATGCTAAAGCCCTGAAATACCTTCCCATACAGATTAGCTCTACTATGGTCCCGGTCACACGGGCAGGAAAATGCGCGCGGGGGGAAACGTGGCTGTTAGCCCCGGGGCTAAAAACCGCGCGGTTGCTCGAGCAGACCTACCGATGGAGGTCCCGTGGAGGTCCCGTGGTAGGGGGGAGGTGCCGATCACTCCACAGTCCTGCCGCGCGGCAAAGAAGCAGGGCGCGGGGCAAACTGGTTGTTTTTTAAAAAAAACCTCAAATGCACGCATGCTCCCTTGGTTGCTTGTGCGCACTCAGTGTTCTTTATGGCATAGTTGGCCAAACATACACTGCTTTGACTCATGTACTGCAGCCATAATTCTGCACACCCCATTTATGCATCATATACCCTTATGTATTGGCCATTTCCAGCTTTCCCATTGGCTGTGCAATGCACTCTATCAGCCATTGGCCCATCAACCACCACTCAAGAGTACTGGTGTGCCATTGACTGGGTGCTGGGTCCGCTCCTCTCCCCCTGCCTAATGCTCTGTGTGACCGCAGCCCAAGTTGACTGCTGTGGTCTGGGAGGTGGAGAGAGGAGATGGACTAGAGGAACAAAATTCTGGGGGCTCATAAAGACATGTAGTTTCTTTCCATATGATGTTTGATTTGGTCCCAGTAAAATAAGTGGATACCCAGAAAGGATCTTTTCTGGGAGGCTGTGGTTGTTCTTAGCAGCTCTAGGTAGAGATAACTGATCTGTTCAATAGATTTGAAGATGGTAGGACTGAAAGACTCTAGGTTCTGGCCAATGTCTGATGATACCTTCAGGCCCAGGATTCTGATGTAAATTAGATATTAATCTGAAGTTTATTGTGATCTAAGGTTCCATGGTCCAGAGCATCTGATGAAGTAGGTTCCAGTTAACAAAAAATAATGCCACAATAAACCAATGAGTCTAAAGTGCCACATGACTCTCTTTTTTAAAACGGCTCCTCAGACACTTTCATTTGTACATGTATTACACACATTCCACTCACAGGGACACTACTCACAAACCACCATCACCCACAGTTAGAGACAATTTCTGTTATCTGTCTAGTACATTTTTAGCCTGCCCTTCCTCCAAGGAGCTCAGAATGGCACACACAAGGCCTTTCCTCTTCAGTTTATCCTATGATAACCTGTGAGGTAAATTTTGCTTAGAGATAGTGACTGTCCCAAGAACACTCAGTGATCTTTATGGCATAGTTGGCCAAACATACACTGCTTTGACTCACGTACTGCAGCCATAATTCTGCACACCCCATTTATGCATCATCTATCTATCTATCTATCTATCTATCTATCTATCTATCTATCTATCTATCTATCATGTATCTATCTATCTATAATATTCCCTTACGTATTGGCCATTTCCAGCTCTCCCATTGGCTGTGCAATGCACTCTATCAGCCATTGGCCCATCAACCACCACTCAAGAGTACTGGTGTGCCATTGGCTGGGGGCTGGGTCTGCTCCTCTCCCCCGCCCAATGCCAGCCTGGACACTCTTCCCTCACAGAATAAACTATCCCTCACAGAATAAGCTATCAAACAAACTGATAAAGACTCTTCTCCTTCTTGGCTCCCATGGGACTAACTTTTCCCTCAGTGGCTGTTGCTAGGCTGTCAGTAAAAAGGCAAAGGCCTTTGTGGTGAACTCATTGGGGCCAGTCCTGACTAGGGTTGCCTGCTCCAGGTTGGGAAATTCCTGGATATTCTGTGGTGAAGTCTAAGGAAGCCAGAGTTTGGGGAGGGGAGAGGTCTCAGCTGAATAGGATGCCATAGAGCCCACCCTCCAAAGCAGTTATTTTCTCCAGGGGGGAGAGATCTGTTGTCTGGAGTTCAGTTGTGATACCCGGTGATCTTCAGGCTCCACCTGGAGGTTGTCTACCCTAGGCATAACAGTTAGCGCTTCAGAGCAGAGTCTGCTAGACCCAGGTTCTTGCTGTGGAAATTGAGTGGGTGATTTCGGACCAGTCAGAGACTTTCAGCCTAACCTAATTCACAGGGTTGTTGGGCAGATCAAAAGGGGGAGAGGAGAATAATGTAAGTTGCTTTGGTTGCCACTCTGGAGAAAGACTGTACTTTTCCTCCTGGGGAACCATTGCTGCCAATCTCCAGGTGAGAGTTGGAGATCACTCAGAATTAAAACTGCTCTCCAGATGGTAGAGATCAGTTCCCTTGGAGAAAATGGCTGCTTTGCAGGGTGGACTCTGTGTCATTATACCCTGCTGAGGTCGCTTCCATCCTACTTGGGTTCCCACGGTGGAGAAAGAGGCTACAGGTGGGCAGGAGAGATGGAAAGCTGAAGTCAGAGGTAGGTTGATGGTTGGCTGGGAAGGAGATAGGGTTGCTACCTCCAAGACAGGTCCAATGCCATAGACTCTACCCTACAAACCAGCCATTTCCACCTGGGGAAGCATTGTTGCCAATCTCCAGGGGAGGCCTGGAGATCACTCAGAATTACAACTGCTCTTCAGATGGCAGAGATTAGTTCTCCTGGAGAAAATTGTAAGCTCTGTTTCATACCCTGCTAAGGTCACCGCAGCAAACTTACACTGAGTGCCCAAGGCCAGGGCACCCACCCAGAGTCTCTTTCTAGAGCTCATTGTATTTATTTCCATAATGGGCCTTATTCCTAGTTAATACATAGGTCAATGGTCCTGCCTATTCACATACACACCACTCATGTACTTCCTTATTCACTCAGTCATCCTAAGCACCTATCAACACTACAATAGTGTCTCCAATCCATCCCACCAACAGATTTCAGCTTGTGTTGCTCTTTAGATCATTTGATTCTTTAGCAATTAGAATATTCATTACACTGCAGCAACTCAGGATGGGTCTTCTGTCTCTGACCTTTGGGCTTTTGTGATATCATAGCAGCAAAGAATGAGAAGTTAGAGGAAGTATGTGCTGTTCCAGTTCTGTGTCTTGTTGGGGAACTGTATGCATTATTATTTATTGCTGTTCAGGCTTGTAGCTATGAGATAGTGTGCTTTGATTTCAACTTGCAAATGTGTTTTAGTTTATTTTTTATTTCTAGAACACTGAAATCAGACTTTCATCTGGAAAAATGGAGGTGATAACCAGTAAGCCTGGCACAGAAAAAAACTATAAATTCTACATCATGGGGCTTTATATTGTAATTGAAACTTACCATGGAATGACTTTTATGTGGGATTAGCTCACACTAACTCAGCTTAGAGGGAACACTGGTTGTAAGATGTAGAGCATTTTGTGTTTTTTAGGATTGGAAACCATGCCCTATTTATTTTTAAACTGTTTTCATTCCTGTTGAAATTGTGTTTATGTTTATGAATTTCAATGGCTTCCTTGTGTAATCTGACATAGTAATTGGATGTGTTGTCCAGCATTTCAGTGTCTTGGAATAAGATACTGTGTCCTGTTTGAGTTAGGCTATGTTCAGCCACTGCTGATTTTTCAGGTTGGCCAAGTCTGCAGTGTCTTTCATGTTCTTTTATTCTTGTCTGGATGCTACATTGTGTGGTCCCAATGTAAACCTGTCCAGAACTGCAGGGTATGTGGTATACTCCTGCAGACGTGAGGGGATCTCTTCTGGTAAGTCAGGCCCACCAGAAAAATACAACAGATGCTATGATTGGCAAAAGACAGAAGAGACCCCCTCACTTCTGCAGGAGTATACCACATAACCTGCAGTTGTGGACTGGTTTACATCGGGACCACACAGTATAGGGTCCAGACAAGAATAAAAGAACATGAAAGACAATGCAGACTTGGCCAACCTGAAAAATCAGCAGTGGCTGAACATAGCCTAACTCAAACAGGACACCCTACCCCACCTTCCTGAGTAGATACAAATTACCTGCCTACCATTTTTCTTTTCACCTTGACACAGAGAGTGCTCCATCTTTCTGTGTTATACCTTGGAGGATGCCATTCACAGCTGCTGGTGAAATGTCAGGTACTACAATGCCAAGACCTTGGCCGTACAGCCTGGAAAATCTACAAAACTAAAGGAAAGACTGTCATGTCTGAAGTGATCCTTCAGTTGTAATAAATATGTGTCTCTTGTGTATTATAAAATCCACAGAGAATGCTTACAAACATAAAACCCCGAGTCATATCTTTTTACAATATGAGACTACTTTGCCATATAGTAGAGAAGAGGTTAGCATATAGGAAGCAGATAATTTATGTTTTAATATCTTCTTTCAGCTATAATAGAAACTAATAATTCAAACCAGCATTTGCTGGTGTGTGACAGTTTAACTTGCAAATTTAGACAATATTATTTTCCCAATTGAGTCCAGAACATTTTCTGCATGATATAAATACAGTTAAACTCTCTCCTGTTTCCAGAAAATGGAGTCACTGCTTAGTATATAAGAGTATTTGGAATGGAACTGGATATATTGTGCTTGCGGAGGACGTACGTCACGCTAAGGATATAAATTGTAGAAGTCTGCATAAGCAGAATTTGACTTTACTACTTACAACAATTTTTTCCCCCCTGTCAAAAAGACATTTGTGGGATAACCTGTACAAATTTTGTAGGGCAAGGTTTGTGGTCTTTGCGGTGACTTTGACAACAGTGCCCACAATGACTTTACCAGCAGAGGGCAGTCCGTGGAGTCTCATGCACAGGCATTCGGAAGCAGCTGGAAAGTCACCACTAGCTGCTCAGACATGAACAAGACTGACCCTTGTGCAACTCAGCCTCTCAAGCTTGTACTGGGGCAGAAGCACTGCGGTATTATCAAGAGCGAAATCTTCAAACCCTGCCACAATAAGGTAAGAGCACTCTTCAGTCTTTGGGTCTCTTGCTTATCCCTCCTCCTGTTCTCTGTTGCTCTGTCTCCCCTCTTCTTGTATTCCTTTGTTTTGATAATATTTATTTGCTATCCTCAGCAACTCTGCTTACTGGCACAGATTACCTTCAGTATTTGCAGCACTATGAGGGTTGGCTAGGGCTGCCAAGTCCCCCTGGGGGCGGAGAAATGGATGCCAGCCAGGGTCAATTCTGGACATATTGTTTAGAAGTATGGGAAAGAGCGGCTGGCCAGTTAATGACCTCCTCCCCACCGTAGAGAGATGCATAATTTAGGAACAATGGGTCTCCCAAGAACCTATTTCCTCACATGGGACTAATCCTACCAGCTTCCAGCCTCATTTCCTCTCATCTATTTACCCTAATTAAGCCACACTATTCACCAAACCTGGTAGCTTTTCCCATCTGGTACTTAAAGGGTCATCAGGCACCATTTACACTTATAGTCCTCCTCAGGAAATTCTATCAAGGTTCTCCCAAATCATTGTCTAACTCCAAAAAGCCCATCAAGGTATTGTTTGCGGGCAAACACATCAGACAGCCCCAGGGAGCATTTTCCCCTATAATTGTAGCACTCTGCTCCATAGCAGTGTGTGGTGTCGACATCCTACTTCATACCCCCACTTGCATGTGGGCCTTCTCCTTTTCTCTGTGAAACGCTGGTCATTTCACTGCTGCCTCCACAGACCTCACTCTTCGAGCCTTCCCTGAAATTGCTTTCTCCCATCTCCTCAGTGATTTCCTCTTAGATTGCTCATGTGTTTTCTGTATGTTTGTATCTCTGTGTTTTGCCCTTTTACTCCTCTTTTCATAAAACCCTTTCCAGTTACACATCTGAATGGTATATTTTGAGAGTTCTCTAAGGGAAAGATCCCCGTATACATAGGTGGAAAATACAATTACCCCCAACTCACTTTGTCTCTATTTCCCCCAATTAAATGGGAGACTGCCTCTTTGGATAACATCCCCTGTAGCCAATTAGGTAGTAGAAAGGCTAACCTGTCCTCCCAGGCCAGAGTGTCTGGCCCTTATGAGAGGGACTCCCTGGAGAATGTGGGCTCCTTCCTTTTCCTGCCTCTCTGAGGGTTGCCTCACCCTCCTGGGTTGATTGGTCAGAGCTACTACCAATCAAGTATGACTGGGCCAGGCCTTCTACCTCCTTTAAATGGCTGCCCTGCCTCCCTCCAGCCAGCTGGTGCTGGTACATTGAGGTCTACCATAATGTTCCTCTGTCATCTGACCCTGCTGGCCCCTTGGAAAGACTTGGAAAGAAGGAAGGGGGCAATTGGTAACCAGGTGTGCAATCTGACTTGTCCAAGGGGAGAAGCGTGTGTTTCAAGTTCCCAGAATTTTTTTTTTAAAGGTGACATGATATCCAGGCGTGTGTGTACTCCAACACGGATCAACATCTGATAGCCAGAACAGCTTTTACATTGCAGCTGTCCTGCTTTTAAACATTCCCGGCTAATGTAGCCACACCCACTGTACACATATCAACCTATGAGGTTGCCGAGATAATGTCCAATCACATTCGTTCCCAATCAGGGAGCTTGCTTGAAGTGATTGGCTTGTTACTTCGTGGGCTAGCAATTCTATTGGATGGATTTGGATCCTAGCCCAGGACGAAGCTCAACATTACATTTCAGTTAGATGTTTCACAACATTTCATTCAAGGCAGCTTTGAATACATTACAGTACCTCATACTTTATCATAAGAATGGAGCTTTGGATTCCAGACTAAGTTGAACCACTCTGAGGCAGGAAAATATTTCTGTGAGGAAATGTTATCACAGCCGTTGGTTTTATGTGGCTTAAAGCCCTAATGTTAACAAAGAAGAGGGCCTGATTAACAATTAACTTGATTTAAAAAATTGATGGCCAGATACTAGAGGCTTCTTTCCAAGACAGCTCGTTCTACTGTAATTAGCATGACAGAATTAGGTGCAGGCCCATTGTTTTGCCTTTTAATTGTAGAATGAGACAGAAGCTTTAATGAAAGGCGCAGCATCAAGATCATGATGTGGGGGTGGGGAAGCACGATCATTACAACAGTGATTTGTCACAACACCATCAGCTTATGTATGCTTTTCCTTTTAATTTATATGTGGCTGTCCAATTGCTGTTCTTTTCAGATTTCCAAGAACAAAGCTTATTAGTTATGACTATCAGTAACCCAAGGGTTAAACATAGGGTTACCAGGTCCCTCCTGGCAGCTGGTGGGGGATGGGAAGGCACCAATCAGCTGGCTGGTGGGGGGACTTATCTGGAGAAAGAGAAAGGTCCAGCCCTGGTGGCTAATGTCACACAGGAAGTGACATCGTCATGCTGCAATGTCCAAGTGATGCTCTGGTATTTGGGCAAAAACTAAATGGTAAAACCAGTGTCTACCATAGACTTTTTGCCCAAATACCAGAGTATTGCCTGGATGTTGCTGGTATGATGACATCACTTCCTGTGTGACTCCGATGAAGGCCTGGGCCTTTCTCTTTCTCTAGATAAGTCCCCCCCACCAGCCAGCTGATTGGTGCCTGGGGGGCAGGGCCGGGTGGCAGGGGACCCCTGTCCCCACCAGGGCATCTGGCAACCATAGCTAAAGGAGAGCAAGAAGAATTTATTACAGATCAGATCATAATTCCAGGCAGATAAAAACGAGCATGAGGGGGACACCTTCTCGAGAGAGGGCTGGTGTCATTGCTAGGTTCACAAAGTGGTTGCAGGGTGTGATTAGGCCAGATCCTAGTATTCCCTAAACCAGAGCAGCTATTTACCAATATGGTCAGCTCCAGGGGTCATTTCATAGAAAAGGAGGTGCAGGAGCTCATTAGCATAACTCATTAGCATAACATATTTGCATATGCCACACACTCTGACATCACTGGAAGTGTGTCAGAAGGCAACACCCACCGCTGAGGCTCCACTGGACTGTTTTCGATTGCTAGCTATTTGGGGGGTGGGGGAGAAAAAAAAGCTGTGAAGATCTGCCCTCACAGAGGAGGGAGAGCTTGTACCTGAATAAAACTTGGTCTGAAAGGTGCCACTGGACTGTCTTGGACGGGGGAGCTGGGAGGGGGGCTCTGCAACTTACCTGGCTGCTTTTTGCTCTGACTGAGGTCTGCTGGGAGCAGAGGGCGGGGCTTGTTGCATGTGCCCGCCCTCTGGGCTCTTTACTGCCAGAGCTCCGCTCCTGTGCGCTCCTGCAGGAAATGACCCCTGGTCAGCTCTATAAACTGAGATGAGGTGGTGACCTCAGGTGGTATACTTGGGGAGCTTTTCCCAATCTGCGTTCAAGAACAAAGTAGAGCATGGTTTGCAAGACATTGATTTCTGATCCTCTGCATGTTGTACAATACGAATAGTTATTAATGTACGCATGATCCTATGGGCATGCTATGAATTTGTTATCTATAGAGGCAATGTAGCGATTACTCGGAAGCCATGCACTTTTGCAGAGCAGTCTTCCATAATAAATCTCCCATATGCTTTATATCTATGTCATAGAGCTTCTGTTTTTTAAAAGTGTTGCAGAAACAATAAATGAATAAAAAGCAGATTAAGTGCAGCACTGAAAGAAATATTCAATATCGTTATTTTTGGTTTTCTCAGGTCAGCCCTACTCCCTAAAGTGTTGCAGAAACAATAAATGAATAAAAAGCAGATTAAGTGCAGCACTGAAAGAAATATTCAATATCGTTATTTTTGGTTTTCTCAGGTCAGCCCTACTCCCTATTATGAGGCCTGTGTGTCTGATTTCTGTGGCTGTGACAGTGCGGGAGACTCTGAGTGCTTCTGCACTGCGGTGGCTGCTTATTCCTGGAGCTGTAGCAGAGCTGGCGTCTGCATTGACTGGCGAACCCCGACAGCTTGCCGTAAGTACCCGCTAAAGGAATTTAATGTTCAGAGGATCATTGCTCACATAAAAGCAATGTTGTCGCTTGTTTAATGCTTTTGATGTTCAGTGTTGTTAGTGATGATTTAAAAACAAATTAAAATATATTTTTTTAAAAAAATAAAAAATATAAGTGCTTTATCACTATACTGGCTGGGTTCTGAACATTTTAAATTGCTTATTAAATAATGAGGCTGTGATTTACTGAAATTAAGTAAAAGCTGTATATAAATAAATAGCATTATATATTACCACATGATAATGCACAAGATTCACCATATAAATTATTACCTAGAATGCTTTTGATATTCAGTGTTGTTGATGATGATTTAAAAACAAATTAAAAATATAAAAGCCAAGTATTTTAAAGACCAAACGAAACATTTATTAAAAAAGGGGAAAAAAGAGGAGTCCGCTCTTTTGATTCCTGTGAAAATATTTGCTAAGAAATTAGCTTAAGGTTGTTTTTTCCCCAAAAACTGAAGAAGAAAGTGGAAGAATGGAAAACAAAGTTATGTATCAGACGCACATAAAGTATACCATACAGATTACCACTCAAACATCAAAAAGTACTAAACATGCCAAACTTTCTTTGTTTGGAGGGAGGAGAGAGGAAATGAGAAACACAAGCGATTTATCCTCATCTGTCTTCCCTCGGTGGTTATTGGTAGGGAATGGGGTGTACAGGAAGCCCAAAGCTCAATATAGCAAATTGCTACATCGAAAAGATTATGGGAGGGGGGAACAACCTATTTGGCGAGCTCCTCAGTTACCCACAGGACAAAAAACTTTGGATTTGGAAGCTTCAGGAACGGTCCTCAATATTTCCAACACACAAAATCAAGGAAGAATAATTCCCTTGTATGTGTGTGTTTTAAAAAGTGGTTTTAGAAGCCTTCCCCTTAAAAAAACCCTCATGATGTATTAAACAAATAACCTAGTAAAGACAGATAATTCACATCGCTTTGAAACAATGGAGACGGACCCACCCACAGGAGGGAACAACAGTGAGGAGAAAATGAATGGGGACTTTATTGGGGGGGGGGGGGGTATTAATTCATGTTTGAGTTGGGTCTGCTGCAATTTTTCCACCCTGTTTTGACTGCTAAATGTGGTCTGGATAGACAGAGGGCGACAGTTCCAGGAAATACATGGCCTTGCCAGGGCTCTTTTTGTAGAAAAAGTCCAGCAGGAACTCGTTAGCCTAATAGGCCACACCCAACAGCAGAAACTCATAAGCATCTTAGGACACACCCCTGACAACACAACTCATTACCGCACCCACATGTTACCAGAAGTGTAGTCATCCAGCCACACCCACCTTTTGCTTCTTATTCTGTTTACCCTGTTTGTCGTCAAAACCCAGGGTCTTTTTTTGTAGCAGGAACTCCTTTCCATGTTAGGCCACACACCCCTAACGTAGCCAATCCTAATGAGTTTCTGCTGTTGGGTGTGGCCTATTATGCTAATGAGTTCCTGCTGGGCGTGGCCAACTCGGGAGCCAGCCGGAACTCTGTTCCTGTGCGTTCCTGCCCCAAAATAGCCCTGGCCTTGCCTTTGAAAGGAGCTCACAACAAGCTGTTTTGAGCCACCTCCTGTCTTGTCCAAACTGAACTGACAGCAAGCATGCAGAGCTGGGCTCCATGTTTCTTGCTGCTGCCAAGTATTTGAAGCAAAGTCTGACAGGGCTCCTTTTGTAGCAGGAACACCTTTGCATATTAGGTGAAACCCCCCCTAATGTAGTCAATCCTCCAAGAGCTTACAGTAGCCCCTGTAAGAAGAGCTCTGTCAGCTCTTGGAGGATTGGCTACATTAGGGGGGTGTCGCCTAATATACAAAGGAGTTCCTGCAACAAAAAGAGCCCTGAGCAAAGATAAAAATGAATCTCTAATAATAATTAAATGACATCAGTAAGTGGATTCCCCATTAGTATTATTTTTGAGTGTATCTTAAATGGCTTGGGAGCAGGGTGCTTGAGAGACTGCCTCCTTTCATGTTGCCCAGCCTTCTAGTTAAGATCTGTCTCACAAACCTTACTGGTGGTGACCAGAGATGGGTTTTTGTTTTTGTTTTAATAACGGCATCTCACTTATGGAAGGATCTTCCTGTTGAGGCTTGCCTGGTGCCTACATTGATTTCTGTTAGATGCCTGGCCAAAACACTGCGGTTCACCCAGGCTTTTAATTAAGGGGTTGATCTTTGAACGCTACTTTAGTCTGGATACCGTTACTTGAAGCTCTCGGTGGTCTGTTCTTATGCTCTGTGTTTTTGTGCTTGTCTGGGTCTTGAATGCTGCAAGTCCTCCTATTGAAATTAATGTCTGAGATGCTGTGGCAAATGCATAGCCAAAGGCAAGCCAGGAAGTGGTAGGCTTACCAAGTACTTACTGAGAATCGGCGGGGGACACATACTTCTTCTCAGGACCATTCCCGCGTGGAAAACAGATGCGCTGCACTGTGCCGTTGCCAGGAAGTGACGTCGGGCGACGCTCTGGCAATGGGGCTGAAAACTCGATGGTACCATCGAGTTTTCAGCCCCATTGTCAGAGCATCGCCCAGTGTCACTTCCTGGCGACGGCATGGTGTGGTGTGGGTGTGTTTCAGGGAGGAATGTTCCGGCCAGGGAACATGTGTCCCCCGCTGATTCGCGGTAGGTACTTGGCAACCCTAGGAAGTGGAGGGATGAACGAAGGATCCAAATGAGGCCTTACCAATTATGACTATCATGTCTTCTAATGCAGCTGTGTTCTGTGACTACTATAACCCACCCAACAAAAAGGAGTGGCATTATAAACCCTGCGGAAACCCTTGTTTAAGGACTTGCAGGAATTGCGCAGGAAGGTGCGGCGATCTACCATACAGTTCGGAAGGTAAGCCAAATTGGAGCGTTTGCCTCTGCACATCATGCAAAACAGACTAAGGTGAAAGACTCGTTTCCGCTGTGATTTGACAAATGCAAACAGGCATTTATTTGCACAGATAAAATTTGTCAAAGGCCTGTTCCCTTGAAGGTTAAAGTGACTATGCAAATAATGAAAAAGTAGTATATTTAAAAGCATTTGTTGTAATTGATGTCCAATAGTCTCCTTTTTCTACTTTATAACAGTCTTCCATCATGTTACTCCAGAATCACTCCACCTGTAGAACCTGTGCATTTGCCACCATTATAGGTGTGCTTGAAGCCTGAGCATGTGTTAGACATGTGGTCTGAAATACAGGCCCTTCATAAATAGACCCTGAAGCAAATTGTGTGCCAAACTGCTGGTGGGCAAAAAGATCTTACCTGTGTGGTGTTGCTTGTGCGTGTACAATATTTGTATGCCTAGGGTTGCCAACCCCCCCAGTTTGGCAGGGGTGCCCCGCTTTTGGGGGGCTTCTACCCACTGCCAGACAGCTGGCCTCCGGGGAAGCCCCGCCCCCAAGTCCCAAGACCCACAGCCACCCCTCTCCCTTCTCTCTTAAGAGAGAGGAGGGAGAGGTGTGTGTGTGTGGGGGGGAAACGCCAGCTCCTTTAACTGCAGGAAGCCGGCATTTCCCAGAGAGGAGGGAGAGGAGCGAACGGGGGGAGGGGGGAAACACCAGCTCCTTTAAGTGCAGGAAGCCGGCGTTTCCCACGCACCCGATCTCTGTTGGGTGTGCGCACGTGGGAGGGGGGAATGCCAGCTCTCTGCACTTAAAGGGGCCCCTTTAACTGCAGGGAGCCGGCGCTGCTGGAAGATGGGGTGGGCAGACAGGGGGGACGTCCCAACGTGATGTCATCATGTCAAGATGCCCCGCCCCCTCCAGGAATGCCCCCCAAAGTCTCCTGCTGGAGGTGAAGATAGGACTTGGCAGCCCTAGGCGTGCCTGTGCAACAGCCATCTGGGTTATGGTTCTCTGGTGGACTAGTTCCACACAAAGGAGACGAGAGCCTAGTTGAGAAAATGGGCATGGGAAAGGTTGTACAGGAAAGAGTCTCTTGTCTGGCAGTATCCCATTCAAACCACAGTCTTTGTAACCTGCCCTCAGAATTCTCTCCATTGGGTCTGTGTAATGTATTCAAAGCTGCCTTGAATGCAATGTGTGGAACATCTAATTGAAATGTAATGTTGAGTTTCATCCTGGGCTAGGATCCAAAGTCATCCAATAGTATTGCTAGCCCAGGACGTAACAAGCCAATCACTTCATGCAAGCTCCCTGAGCGGGAACTAATGTGATTGGACATTATCTCGGCAACCTCATAGGTTGGTATGTGTACAGTGGGTGTGGCTATATTAGCCGGGAATGTTTAAAAGCAGGACAGCTGCAATGTAAAAGCTGTTCTGGCTATCTGATGTTGATCTGTGTTGGAGTTGTGTTCGAGTTGAAGAATAAAGTTGTGTTCTTGCTGAATCACTCTCTGACTGCTTTGTTAAGCGAGCGACTTAGTCAGTTTCTCTTTTCACCATCACTGTGACAGCTATGAGCTTGAGTGCCAACGGGGCCCTCTATTTTCCACAAAATAATATCTGGGCTTCCAGAAGATGAAGTGAAAAGATATATTTGTTCCGGATTATATATATCTAATCCAGCCTTCATGTTTCTATCCCAAAATGTACACTGGAAAGGTACCAAAAAATTAGTATTCAGGGCTCCTTTTGTAGCAGGAACACCTTTGCATATTAGGCGACACACCCCTAATGTAGCCAATCCTCCAAGAGCTTACAGAGCTCTTCTCACAGGGGCTACTGTAAGCTCTTGGAGGATTGGCTATATTAGGGGTGTGTCGCCTAATATGCAAAGGAGTTCCTGGATGGATGGATGGATGGATGGATGGAGAGAGAGAGAGAAAAGAAATTTATGTCCAGTAGATGAAAAGGTAAATTATTCTTTGCCTGTTTCCAACGTAGGCTGCTACCCAGAGTGCAGTGCTGACAAACCATATTATGATGAGGAAAAGAGAGAATGTGTCTCAGCATCTAAGTGTACTTTTTGGTAAGTAAATTCTATTTATAGCCCACTCTCCCGAAGACTATGGTGCCCATCAATGTGCTTTCTGGTGTCCACTTTCTTCTTTCCCAAAGCATATTATCCCCAAAGCAAAGTTAATCCTGGGTTTCACCCATCTCTTTGGAGCAGCAGGTACTTCAGAAGAATCCAGGAGCTATCACCTTTCTATCTGCAGGGAGCAACCAGGGCTTTTTTGGTAGAAAAAGCCCAGCAGGAATTCATTAGCATCATAGGCCAAACCCAACAGCAGAAACTCATTAGCATATTAGCCACCCCCCCATATTACCAGAAGTTAGGTCATCCAGCCACACCCACCTTTTGCCTCTTATTCTGTTCACCTTGTTTGTTGTAAAAACCCAGGGCTTTTTTTTGTAGCAAGAACCCCTTTGCATGTTAGGCCACACACCCCTAATGTAGCCAGTCCTAATGAGTTTCTGCTGTTGGGTGTGGCCTATTATGCTAATGAGTTCATGGTGGGTGTGGCCAACTTGGGAGCCAGCCGGAACTCCGTTCCTGTGCGTTCCTGCCCAAAAATAGCCCTGGAAGCAACCATCTAGATACATCTATTTTCCAAGAATGGCTTGGAATCCCCCAATATTTGGTGATTGGACCCAGCCACCCTTGCCTCCCTGGCAGCTGTTGGGTGGTTGGCTGTGCCCCTCAAGACAGCCATTGGGTACTGGTGCCTATTCAGTATTCTCCAATTTCTAAAAGTGGCTACAGACTCAACCAGGTTGGGGACTCCTAGTATTGTGTCATAAGCACACTTGGACTTTCTAAGTTTGCAAAGTTGATGTTTTCACCAGACTCTTCACCTTGTTGTTGTTGTTCAGTCACATAGTCGAGTCCGACTCATTGCGACCCCATGGACCAGATCATGCCAGGCCTTCCTGTCTTCCGTCGTCCTCTGACGTTTGCTCAATTTCATGTTCATTGCATCTATGACCTACAAATAATAATAATAATAATGGAGGGATGTCAGAGGGAGAGGGAGATTATATTTCGTTGCACTTAAAAATTTAGGCAATAAACTGTCAATAGTATTTATGTGTATTTTAATGTTTATTTTCCCCTAGTGATCCAAAGGGAAACCTGTCCTTGAAAGATTCCATTGGTAAGATTTACAGTGTCAGCTCCTTATTTGTTATTATTGTAAGATATAGAATGAGGGTCGGTGCACTGTGTGGTGTCTGAAGACCAAAGCAAACATTTGTTTTGATTTATCTTAATCTTAGAACATACAATCAGTGGTCATGTCATTTATCCTGGACAGGGAAGCAGTTGGTTAAAAGATTAAGCCATATTTCAGTAGACTCTTTGCTCAGCTTCATTTTACATCTCAAAGATAATCCATACATTTACCTAACTCTCTATATAAATACCAACAAGGTAGCTCATAGTTACAGCATCAAAAATAACAATAAAGCACTAAGCATAACAAAAATAATAAAATATCATACAGATAGAACGAAAAGAATAAAAGATAATGTCAATGGAAACAATATCAAATGCAAATAGGAGAATGGTCTTAAAAACCCTTAAAAGTAGCACAGCACAAAAAAAGAGAAACCCTAAAACAAGGGAGGCATTAGCAGGGGTCATCTGGGGGGGGACGCGGGGGGACGCCATCCCCCCGGGTGAGGTGCGGGAGGGCGGGGCCTGGAGCTCCCTGCTGGTGCCACACTTCCGGTGATGTCAGGGGGTTTGGCATATGCTAATGAGTTATGCTAATGAGTCCCCCTAGCTCTTTTTCTACGAAATGACCCCTGGGCATTAGAATGCAGAAACTAATACAATTTCATAAAGGAGGTAGAACTGATATTCAACAAGGCCTGAATTAGTGGATTCACCTCAAGGATCTGAAATTGCTCCCTCAGTTCAGAGATCGGCTACACAGGCTTTTAGCTCCTTCCCACCATTAAGTTTTTAAAAAAACCACCTGATATGTTCTGGTAAACAAAATTAATGCTTAAGATAGAACACACAATGGAAATGACAATTCATTACCTTATCAATGATGTCCTTGGTATGTGAACAGCTGAAAGTCAACTTGATTGGTTGGGCAAGAAAGGGAGTAAAAGATCTTTCTTGTGTTCCCCTTTTAGTAGCATCCTCTGTTCCCCAAAAGGCTAACTTTGAGTGTCAGGGGACCCTCATCAACTTAGTGGCATGAGAGCAGGAGGCTCCAGCGAGTGGAGGGAACTGGGAGAAATTTCCTTGTGTGAGTGGAAGCAGGGCTATTTTGGGGCAGGAACGCACAGGAACGGCGTTCCGGCTGGCTTCAGAGTTGGCCACGCCCACTACAGTAGAGACCTCTGCATGCGTGGCTACAGAGGGAAGGCCTGAAGAGTGACCTCCCCAATGACTCTGAGGTGGGTGGGCCAGGAGGTGCCCGGAAGGATCGGAGAAGTATTTAAATGCCTTCCTGTGCCTTCTCCGGCCTGTCCAAGGGCCAGCTTGCGAGGCACCTGGGCAAGCCAAGGGAAGGCATGGGGGTGTGGCCTAATATGCTGATGAGTTTCTGCTGTTGGGTGTGGCCTATTATGCTAATGAGTTCCTGCTGGGCTTTTTCTAAAAAAAAAAGCCCTGAGTGGAAGTGCCCAGTTATCCACCAGTTGTGTTCTGCTGGTCGTCATCTTTTACTCTTCCCCCCACCTCCACCCAAGATGGCTTGTCTGGGCTAGCCACTGTTTCTCCACCTAACCTACCTCACACAGTTATGAAGATAAAACGAAGAAGGGAGACCACACATGCTATTCTGTCCTCCTTGGAGGAAGAGTGAGATAAAAACGTACTAGATATATACATTGTACATACATAGATATGTACTAGATTTGTTAATTTTTTAGGGTACCACAGAACGCTCAATGGTGCTTGTAATACACCATATGGGGAGGGAACACTGGTGGATACGACTCGAGCTATAGAATTCCATTCGCTCTCAATAAAATGATGGGTCGGATCCCACAGATCTATTCCATCAGCAGTGGCGTTTCCCTGCCATCACGGAGCCTTTGCCCAGAAAATCTTCTTGTGATGGGGAAGGATGGAGGAAGGCATCATAACAAGATGAGTCCATAGCATCCAACACAAACTCTTTTGTTATGCAGTTGGGTTTCCACAAGAAAAACAGCCCCTATCCAAATGTCCAGTTAAAGATTGCATACTTTGAATTCTTGTCCACGGCGTGTGCTTAGGAAAGAATTACGCGAGTGCCATCGGCCAAGGGCTACTGTGCTTCTCTGTTTATTACACTGAGGCTTAAAACGAATAGTAAGGATGTCTCTTTCGTCCAATTATTTCAGGAGATGTAGCAATGCCGCCCACAACTTTACCAGCGACAATAAAAATGACAGCTATCCCTTGCTACTGTAATGTAAATGGAAAGCTGATAACTAAGGGTAAGCAAGTTCTGTTTGAAATTACTTATTACTTAAATGATGCATAATGGGTAGGATCCAGACTGAAGTATTTCACCTATGGAGGGAGAGATAGATAGATAGATAGATAGATAGATAGATAGATAGATGATAGATAGATGATAGATAGATAGATGATAGATAGATGATAGATAGATAGATGATAGATAGATGATAGATAGATAGACAGACAGACAGACAGACAGACAGACAGACAGACAGACAGACAGACAGACAGACAGACAGACAGACAGACAGACAGACAGACAGACAGACAGACAGACAGACAGACAGACAGACAGACAGACAGACAGACAGACAGACAGACAGACAGACAGACAGACAGACAGACAGACAGACAGACAGACAGACAGACAGACAGACAGACAGACAGACAGACAGACAGACAGACAGACAGACAGACAGACAGACAGACAGACAGACAGACAGACAGACAGACAGACAGACAGACAGACAGACAGACAGACAGACAGACAGACAGACAGACAGACAGACAGACAGACAGACAGACAGACAGACAGACAGACAGACAGACAGACAGACAGACAGACAGACAGACAGACAGACAGACAGACAGACAGACAGACAGACAGACAGACAGACAGACAGACAGACAGACAGATAGATAGATGTATTTATTACGGCATTGAGCCAACGTAACCATACAGAGTGTTACAATCTGGGTAAAATCGAGTAGTATATATATAAGACCATAAAAATATTTGACAAATCCAGTAAGATATATAAAAGGCAAATACAATTTTATAAGTTTAGCTGCATCTTTCTAATACGATAGCATGCCGCCCAAAATTTAGCCACAGATTCAGTAATAGTCCGATTTTCATCGGATACACCTATGGGGTGTAATTTCCTCTTCTTCCACCCCTCCCTCAGCCCCCCCCCCAAATACCCCCCAAAAGCTATTCCCTGGGGGAGGGGACTCCCAAAAAGAGGATTTGGGGTGGTAATTTGTGCTGCTGCAGTAGGGAGGCGGTGAGAAGTCCATGTTCTGTGGGATGTCCGAAATGTTAGTCTGGACCCGAGTCATATGTATGCACTATTTATTAAATAATTATTTCAAATTGCAGCTATACTTGATTGATTTTTTTAATGTAATCATCACTCATTAGTGTAGGGGTAGGCACCACAGCACCCACCAGCACCTTTCCTGGCATCCGCCGAGTGTTTTTTGAAAGTGGGAGGGGCCAGGTGGGCCTTTTGCCCTTTAAGGCTGCTGATTGGCTGTTGAAGAATGATTGGCTGTGTAGCTGCCATCACAGCACAAGGATCTCCACTATGTGATTGAAGGTAATCTGTGGCAGCCATTTTGTGGCTGTGACCACCCCACTGTCAGAATCCTGCCTGCAGGGTGAAAATGGTTGAGGACATCTGCATTAGTGTACTTATACATTTGTAGGTACAGTGTTCCCTGGTTACCCTTTTTTTTAAAAAAAAATCAGATGTTCTGCGATTCTATATGGCAGATTCAATAAGATCACATTGCCCTTGTGGATCTGGATACGTTGAGATGGTCTTACATGTTTTGTTGCGATGTCACTTTTATGTAAAATATACGCTCTAAATATCTAAACTCTATATTGGCCAACATGATGGGCTTTTCAGATTCCTATAAAGTTTACAAACTTTTGAATGATTCCTCTGTTGAACTAACTAAAAACGTGGCTAAGTTCCTTCAATCCGCCATGCTGCTACGCCACGGAAAAGTACAGTTGTAACCAATGTTCCCTCTAAGCCGGGGAGTCCTGTGAGCACAAATTCTTCTTTGTGAGCTACTGGCATTAAAGTTGTGAGCAAGCAATTTGGCTACTGCATAAATTAGTTTGCTCTGGAGCCCTCCTTCCTGAGCGAAGACAAAAATGTGTGAGCCGGAGGCTAAAAAACTGTGAGCTAACTCACACTAACCCAGCTTAGAGGGAACACTGGTTGTAACCTATTATTTTATTCAATGTATTTGTAATACAGTGTCCTACTTGTATACTTTTGTAATGACTTTGTTCTACTGTTTGTTCTACTGGAACATGTAAGCCGTTCAGAGCCCTTAGGGGGTGAGCGGGATAAAATTGAAATATAAATAAATAAATACTGATATATGCCAATAAAGGCTGACTTGATTTGACTTGAAATTCAGATGCATACTTCTAAATTCCCCCCCAAAATAAAATATACATATTGGACTATTTGCATGTTGAGTGAATTGTATCCCTCTTAAAGCTTTCCGTATGTGTTAATCCTGAGAATTTACGACTTCTTGTTTCCATTTATGGCACTGCGTTATCATATGCTTCTACTAATTATTCCTCTGGATTTTTAGGCAGTAGTGAGTTTGTGACAATGGATACTTCAGATTGGTGTATCTATGCCTTTTGTAATACATCATGCCAGATTGAATTCAGCTATGGAGAATGTTCCTTCACCATGACCACCACTAGCAAGCCTTCTACGATCTCCAGGCGCCCTTGTAAGGGGAATTCTCGGAGCTGTCAGAATAAGCCTCCTCCCTATGTAGTTACAAAATCTGATTCCACACTTACTCCTGTGAGTGGTTGCACCGATCTCAACCCTCCTCGAAAGGTGAGCAAAAAATGAATGCATAAGTAGAATGGAACAATATGGAAAAGTATGTATATGTTTGTATGTCCCTTGTTTGGACCCAAAAAGATACCGTATTTTTCGGACCATAAGACGCACCTGACCTTAAGACGCACCTAGTTTTTAAAGGAGGAAAACAGGGGAAAAAATATTCTGAACCTTCGGTCCATAAGACGTACTCACTTTTCCTCCCACTTTTTTTGGAAGAAAAAGTGAGTCTTATGGTCCAAAAAATACGGTAATTAGAATACTTGTTTCAGCCACAGGCCATAGCAAAATTACAAAATAATAACCACATTTATAATACCATACAAGGGAATGCTGCCATGACACACATGCACAAAATTTAATCCATACAAAGTGGAACGCCATAAAAAAAAGTCACAAGGTACTCAATCCAAATAACAGTGAAGCATATGATTGTCAGTTAAGTTTGATCACATTTTCTGCAGCCCTTAAGCAAAGATTTCTACCTTTTGTATGTATGTGTGAATGTGTTAAATGCGATCAAGTCATTTCCAACTTATGGTGGTCCTGTGAATGAATGTCCTCCATACCATTCTATCATGAACAGCCTTGCCGAGGTCTTACAAAATGAGGGCTGTGGCTTCCTTGACTGAGTCAATCCATTTTATGTTGGATCTTCCTCTTTTCCTGCTATCTTTAACTTTTCCTAGCGTTATCGTCTTTTCCAGTGACTCCTGTGTTTCCATAATGTGACCAAAAGTATGGTAGACCTTGGTGTAGTCATTTTAGATTCTAGGGAGAGTTCAGGGTTGATTTGGTCTAGAGTCCACTCTGGTCTGGTAGTCCACAGTATCCGTAAAACTCTCCTCCAACACCTCATTTCAAATGAATCAAGTTTCCTATCAGCTTTCTTCACTGTCCAACTTTCACACCCATACATAGTAATGGGGAATACTATGGCATGAATTAACTTGATCTTGGTTGCCAGCAACACATCCTTACACTTAAGAATCTCTTCTAGCTCCTTCAGAGAGCCAGTTTGGTGTTGTGGTTAAGTGCGCGGACTCTAATCTGGGAGAACCGGGTTTGATTCCCCATTCCTCCACTCGCACCTAGCTGGATGACCTTGGGCAAGCCATAGTTCTGGCACAACTGTTCTTGAAAAAAGATCAGTTTCTGTCACTCAGCCCCACCTACCTCATAGGGTGTCTGTTGTGGGGAGGGGAAGGACTTTGTAAGCTACTCTGAGACTCCTTTGGGTAGTGAGATTGGTATAAATCCAATCTCTTCTTCTTCTTCTTCTTTGTCTTCTTCTTCTTCTTCTTCTTCTTCTTCTTCTTCTTCTTCTTCTTCTTCACCACCCTTCCCAGTCTCAATCATCTTTTGATTTCTTGGTTTTAGTCTCCCTTTTGGTTGATGATAGAGCCAAGGAATAGAAAATCTTGAGCAATTTCAATTTCATTATCACCAACCTTAAAGCTGTATGATTCCCCAGTATTCATTACTTTTGTCTTCTTGATGTTCAGGTGTAATCCTGATTTGGCACATTCTGCTTTAACCTTCACCAGCAGTCATTTCAGATCTTCACTGTTTTCTGCCAGTAATATGGTGTCATCTGCATATCTCAAATTGTTAACGTTCCTTCCCCCAATTTTCACTCCACCCCCACTGAACTCAAATTCCCCTTTCCTTATGCATCTAGACTGAAGAGGCAGGGAGATAAATCAAATCATCCTCATGCCTCTAGACTGAAGAGGCAGGGAGATAAAATACATCTGTATCTGACACCTTTGCCAATTAGAAACCATTCTGTTTCTCTATATTCTATTATAACAGTAGCCTCTTGTCTGGAGTACAGGTTGCACATCAAAACCATCAGCAACCGACCATAGCATTTCATCATCCACACTATGAGGCAAAACTTCCTAATTTCCTGTCAAGGGTTAACATGAATATTAGCAAGCCAACTCCGGCTTGCAGGAGTCCATAATTGGGCCTCCCTGACTACACCATCCTTATATCCTTCAATATTGGATTCAAGAATGTGTTAATTGGCTAATCGTGAGAACCTATGTTCAGTTCTGTAACTAGATGGGAGGGAGAAGCAGGGATGGATGTCATCATTTTGGGGAGGGTTCCATCAAATGGGCTCCCTGATTGGGTTTGGGAGACCACCTGGTGCCAGATGGCCAATGACTATAATTAAGTCATAGGCAAGAGGGAAGTCATGGTAACTTTATGATTCGACTGGACAATCGCTCAGACTATGCCAAGCTTCATTGTGATGGATTGTTGTTGTTCAGTTACACAGTCGAGTCCGACTCTTCGCGACCCCATGGACCAGATCACACCAGGCTTTCCAGTCTTCCGCAGTCCTCTGAAGTTGGCTCAACTTCATGTTCGTTGCATCTATGACACTGTCTAACCATCTCATCCTTTTCTGTGCCCGTCTTCTTTGACCTTTGATCTTTCCCAGCATCAGGGTCTTCTCCAGTGAGTGCTCTCTTCTCATTTGGTGGCAAAGTATTTGAGCTTCAGTTTCATTATCTGGCCTTCCAGGGAACAGTCAGGGTTGATTTCTTTTAGGACTGACTGATTTGATCTCCTTGCAGTCCAAGGGACTCTCAAGAGTCTTCTCCAGCACCATAGTTCAAAAGAATCTATTCTTCGGCGTTCGGCCTTCCTTATAGTCCAACTCTCGCAGACATACATGACTACTGGGAATACCATTGCTTTGATCATGCGGACTTTTGTTGGCAGGGTGATGTCTCTACTTTTTATCATGCTGTTTAGGTTCGCCATCACTTTCCTCCCAAGGAGCAGGCGTCTTTTAATTTCATGGCTGGTGTCACAGTCTGTGGTGATCTGGGATCCCAGGAACGTGAAGTCTGTCACTACTTCCACGACTTCCCCTTCTATTTGCCAAGGAGTGATGGGGCCGGATGCCATGATCTTAGTTTTTTTTTATGTTGAGCTTCAAGCCCACTTTTGCGCTCTCCTCTTTCACTCTGAGCAAGTAACCAATTTGCAAGGTTTTTTTTTCAAATCTAACTTTTGTAGGTTATTAACTTTCCACAGTTATTTTCCACAGTTCCACTTTGTGCAACACCTAGCACATTCATGCCTACATATTATAGTGCCTAGAAATTGTTTGTACTTCATGCGCTATTGGAAATGCAACTGGGAGATACAGTAAATTTGACTTAGTGTAAGCAGCTACCACAGATTTTTTTCTGCATTTTCTTCATTTCCCTACCCCTACCTGGCTTTACCACCTTCAGCCTGTCTCGCCACATAAATCAGTTGGTCAAGCCGAGCTGATGTGAGAATACCATCAGGACTATCACCTAAGTAATGGTATAGTTTAAGCTAGGAATCTCTGCTCTTGCACTTTAATTGCTTCCAGCACTTTATAAACATCCAGGGGTCATTTCCTGCAGGAGCGCACAGGAGCGGAGCTCCGGCAGTAAAGAGCCCAGGGAGTGGGCACATGCAACAAGCCTGACCCCCTGGTCCCAGCAGCCCACAGTCAGAGCAAGAAGTTGCAGAGCCCCCCCCATCCAAAACAGTCCAGTGGCACCTTTAAGACCAAGTTTTATTCAGGTACAAGCTCTCCCTTCTCTGCGAGGACAGATCTGCACGTTCCTCCCCCCCCCAATAGCTAGCAATCCAAAAAAGTCCAATGGAGCCTGAGCAGTGGGTGTTGCCTTCTGACGCACTTCCGGTGATGTAAGGGTGTGTGGCATACACAAATAAGTTATGCTAATGAGTTATGCTAATGAGCTCCTGCACCTCTTTTTCTTCGAAATGACCCCTGTAAACATCTGTGGATGTTTTATGTATGTTTTTAACTGTATTTATATACGCATTCTATGGAAGTTGCCGTAAACCCGCCTTGGCAGGGAGGAGGGCGGGTTATAAATCAAACCAATAAATAAATAAATATTAAAATTTGTATATTGTTTAAACTTGATGCATGCTGTCCTTGTTGTATTATGTTTTATTATGGAAGGGCAAGATATACATATTTTAAATCATCATACAAATAATAAGGCATAGCAACGTTTACTAATTTTTTTTTTTAACCATATCAACAGTTTCAAGAATCATGGAAATTTGGAAGCTGCCAAGTTGCCACTTGCTTAGGAGGTGGAAATCACATTAAGATATCTGATGTGCGCTGTCCACCTCAAAAGTTAAAACAGTGCATCAACGGATTGCCACCAATAAAAAAGCCTGCAGCATCAGGTTGTTGTGAGGTTTTTGAGTGCCAATGTAAGTGATGGTTAAATCAGGACCTGCATTCTACAGGGCATTAATATCAAGCTGAAATGGTGTGTAAGGTCACTTCTAGTTCAATGTTCTAATTCAGATTTGTTATCTGGCACTCATGGGAAATGGGGTTTTTGGTTAATCAAATGTGCTGGATATTCAAGATCAATGTTCCCTCTAAGCCTCACAGTCTTGTGAGCAAAAATTCTACTTTGTGAGCTACTGGCATTAAAGCTGTGAGCAAGCGATTTGGCTCCTGCATAAATTAGTTTGCTCTGGAGCCATCGTTCCTGAGCCAAGACAAAAATGTGTGGGCTGGAGGCTAAAAAACTTTGAGCTAGTTCACACTGACTCAGCTTAGAGGGAACACTGCTCAAGATTATTGTTCTACCCTGCCCCCCCATACCCAGAAGAAATTGCAGCGACTGAACCCTACCACACTGGGAACACCATGGCAACATGCCTGGTGAGACTATCCCCCTCAAGCCACAAAGACATCCTGCAAACAAGCAGTTCAGCTCCTTGGGAGCCATCTAGCTACTGGCAGAGTTGGCTCTTGACAGCTCAAGACAAGTTGAAGGGTAAGGAGTCACCTGAGGATGATCTCAGAACCATCTGTCAGAAGCAAAACAACAACTGGAATCATCTGCACAGGGGTATGATGGCTGAAGAGTAGGAACTTGCCCTCTGGACAATGTCAGCTAATTGAGTGTTCTGGATATTCAAGTGCTGGGTAACAAAGTTTTTACTGTAATTGTGATTGTGTAACAGGCAGGTTTGTCTCATAGATAGGTAAATAAAGGCCCTGTTCTCATGCCGAATTTGCCGCGGGAGAGCCACGAATGCTTGGCGGATTTTCAGGGCGCGATCACACCGCAACATCTGGGAAGCGTGGCACACCCGTGACCAACCCGTGGCATGCCGCCAAAGCTGTGCAGTTAAAAAGTATCTCAGCAAATGCACTAGCAAATGGTTTGCCACGGGCTGCCGATGGAATCATTCTGTGTGATCGCACCGGCGTGCGGCTTTCCCCCTGGCCATCCTCCTTGACGCTCATGCGCTGACGGACAAAACCGCGGTGTGCTGCCATCGCGTCTGATCAGGTTCTGGCGGGTCTAATTGCGGGTCTAATTGCAAAGAGCCATGCCTACCCCCCCCCGCGTTATCTGGCCCGTGTGACCGGAGCCAAAGAACAACTTACTACTTCTGTAATGTCACATTTAGGAGTTTAATAGTCTTAGCTAATCCTCCCTATCCAAAATGTGCCATGATCAGTGATTCTGAGTTGCAGGCAACTTTGCTCATACAATTTTAAGCACTGAAATAGTCCTATAAGAACAACATGTAGGCCAAAGTAACATTTAGATAAACCCAAGGAAATGTTTTCCAGAAAGAAACACGAAGTCATTCTGGTGGATCAAAGAACACATTACTGGTGGTCAAAGGATGAAGTATGAATACCTTGTACTGATCAGCAGAATATTAAAAAATATTAAGGGAGAATGTTTTAAAAAGTTTTAATGATGTGGGTTGCAAACTGAGCTGAAATACATGAATACAAAGTTGTATGGTATGGAAGTACAGAGATGAAAGCTTCAAGGCTCCAAAAATACAAGAGATTGTTTAGGGATAAGAGCTAATAGCATATGGAACTGGGGGTGGTTATATAAGTATTAATGATTATAAGTTATAAATCGGTAGTGACTATATGGGTATAGTAATAGTAGAAAAATCCAAACATGCATGGCATACATTTCCTTGATTCATCTTCTTCCAGGCAATGTCTGGTGTAAGATATTTCAGCTTCATCAAACAGAATTTCTCTCTCGAAATCACATCTGGGTTACTAATAGTGCAATCCAAAGTCATGTTCCACCCTTCTAATCTTATTGACCTCAATAGATTCAGAAAGGTATAACTATGTTTAGGATTGCACTATAAACGAGTGACTTCAGTGAAATGTCAGCTGCAGTTTGATAATGGCACAAGGAAAAGAAATTTAATAAATGTGTAGTTAAATTCCATGGAACAGCTGCTGTTGTGGATAGCTAAGATTCAGGAATTCAGATTTAAAGTGGAAGTCATTTTGTTCACCCACTTGCAGCCTCACTTGAGTCACTTGCAATATCTGGATTAGGGATGTTTCAAATTTCTCCTTACATTTTGGCGTTCAAGATTCCCTGATTTATTTAGTCCAAGGTGTAACCAATAAGCTAGAAATCTTCCATTGTATATATTTTCTTAATTTCTGGATTTTGTACAGAGGACTGCATATAACGTTTGCCACAGAATTCTGAATTCATTGCTGTCAGTTCATTTTTGTCTCTTCCCTTCCCCTCTTATTCTATTTTCAAGTAGTTTGGTTGGCTGAGCCCGCTTCCACATTCAGCTAGGGGGAGTTCATCTATTTCTAACTGAAACCTGTGTGCATCCTTTGGTGGGAGACATAATTTTAGACATTTTCCCGATTAAACTGGACTTCACAAGGAGCTCAGTGGAGGTTACAGCAAACCCACAAAATAAAGGAACAGAACAGGGAAAATCCACTAATTCTTAAATTAAATACTAATACTGGTTTACCTTACAGGGCTCTTTTCAATCAATACTCTATGTGAAGCCCTTTCAGAAACTGAAATCTGTTATATAAATGTTATTAAGATACCACCATGATAATCTTGCAGATAATACTTGCCTGGTTGCCAGTGAAAAGTAAGGATCTCTTCTAGGCATCTAGGCAAATAAACTTATGTAAATTGATAAAGAGCTCCCCCCCTCCTTTCCAATGCCATGTCGATGTGCCATAAATAATTAACCTAGGCCCCAGTCACACAGGTCAGATAACGCGGGGGGGGGGGAAGTGTGGCTGTTCGCCCCAGAGCAAAATAAAGCTCGGTACCCCGATCAGACGGTCCTCCGAGTCTCCGTGCTTCGGCTGTTAGCGGGCGATCACATGGTGATGCTGCAGCATGGCAAAGAAGCGGTGTGGCGTGATCACACAAGCGTTTCACGTTTGTGCGCATGCGCAGTTCCACGGAGCAGCACTGCTTTCAGTTTTGTGTTTGTGTGCATGCGCTTATGAAAAACATCTGGTTTGCGACGAGACGTGGACGGGCGCTGGATGCCATGGGATACTAGCACTCCCACGATCAGACGCCCGCCTGTGCCGTGCGTTTTCCGGGCAGGACACCACAGGTTGGCCACGGGTGTGCTACGCTTCCCAGATGTTGCGGTGTGATCGCCCCCCGAAAATCCGCCCAACATTCATGCCTTTCACGTGGCAAATTCTCCGTGTGACCGGGGCCCTAGATGTGTATGGACAGCAGATTAGTTGTGGGCGGGTAACTGCATTATACTATGACAGAGCAGAAAAGGTTATGTAAAGATAGTCATGCATTTAGGGATGTCCTCACTATGTCCAACTGCTGCATTCCCTTGATCTCCAGAATGCCCTGCTGTAGTGTATTTGTTGCTTTTGCTCCTGTTTGTGTCATAGTGTCACCTGAATTTCGTGGGCTGATCTGTGAGTGGACTATGTACTGATGATCCCACCTTGTTGTGGGAGGTTGCATTTGCTGCTGGATATGGCAGACTTTTGGTCCAACCCATAATTCCCTTGTTTTGACTTTAATAATTTGTGCTCTTTAGGTACTTGCAGTGGATGGGGAAATCAACACTATGTAACATTTGATGGATCCTATTATAACTTCCGTGGGAATTGCACCTATTTGCTGATGAAACCAATCAGACCCAGTTATCAGAACTTCTGGATCCAAATGGATAATCACTATATTGCTGCCATAGATGGAGCTGTTTACTCAATGACCCTTTTCATATATTACAACCATTCTATGATTGTTTTGACACGAGGAGCCAAGAGTGGGAAAGAAGGCAACCTGGTAAGACATTTATTAGTTTCCTTGGGATTCAAAAATCTTGAAAGCACATTACACCTCACAGTATGGATATTAATACATAAGGTTCAATATAGTAGTAGTAGTAGTAGTAGTAGTA